AGGACAGCATAGCTGCTTAGGGCAGTAAACACTCATTTACACTTTTTTCTTAGCACTGTAATCAAATGGCAGTAATACCCTACTTCCTAACACTGTGCACACCCAGTATTTGATATGGAATGGAGTATGAATATATATAGAATGTACTGGATTATTCTCCTTGCTTATGCCAAATTTTAATCCTTACAGAGTTTTTACGGTATGAGGGCCAGGAGAGTTTGCCTTGATGCATAATCTTTGCAACATCAGGAGCTTACAGATGCTTGTTCAGCTGAAGGATAATTAACCATTTATGACTGCAGTTGTTCAGGCTGCCTTGCTAATCAGAACAGGGAGGCAGATAGCGACACAAAACTTGTTTCCGTTGTATTTTGGAATAGCCTCCCGTAAATGCAGACACTTTTCCAGCTGGTCACAGTTCTCATCCCCAAGCAATGAAGGAAACTAGAGAAAGCGGGTGGCTTTGTGTAGTGTTCCACAAATAGCTGGAATTTCTTGCTTGTGTGTGTGTGGAATACTGGAAAAAGGATACTAATGTTTGTACTTACTTAACTTTTAAATAGCGGATGATGCCATAGGAGTACAGAGTAGTTGTTCTGCATGTCCTGCACAGTGAAAAAAATGCTGGGTGAGAACTGGACCTGGTTCTAATTTCTTGTTTCCCAGAGATGGATTTGGAAGTATGGGAGCTCATGTTTCGCTGCCAGGGTGGGTTTCAGCAGGTAGGCCAGCTTTGGATGCGGTATGCGTACAGCTGGGGGACTCACCTGCATGGCTTACTCAGGCAAAGCTCCAAAGGGTTTTGCTTGGTAAGGATGCATGGGAACAGCCTTAAGTCACCAAACTGACAGCGAAGTCAAATGTCTCACTGAATCTAAACCTGTTTCTTACGTGCTGTTCATTGTAGCTCTGATTTTCAATTTTTTATTTTAATATGCTTATTTTACAGCAGCCTTTTACCTAGTCTTTTGGAAACTTACGGCATCTTGTGTGCCAAGCCTTCTGCTTCTAAGTAACGGAGATGCTGCTGAGATTAGAGCTGTCCTGCAAGGAAGGAACCTATGAAACTAAAAACCATGTTCTCGTGATGAAATCAGAGTGATTGAAAGGATGTTTAGTCATATATGAAGTAAGTCATGTGGGTGCTAGTTAGCTGCAAGTGTCAGTGTGTAATACCATTTTGTTAAAGATTCAGGTAGGTATTTGAGGTTCTAGCTTGCCAGGTTTTCTTTTGTGCCTGTACAAGAGATGGGTAGTGTGCAGTTAAAAAGTCAATTTTCAGCATGAATTGAAAGGAGAAAAAGATACTGCAGTTAATTTAAGGAACCTCAAATGGATAATACCGTTACTAGTTTTATTAATTAGACGCTTGCCTCTGAAGTCTTGAATTTTTGATGTGTACTTCTGAAACTTGTTCTTTAATACCGTGTTCCAAAGTTCATATTCAAGTATGTTTCAGTCCTTTTTTAGGAGGCAAAAAGCAGAAATACAAGAGAAATTATCTTGCTGCTGATTTACATCATTGTGGGATACACATAGATTTTTCTCATCAGTGTATTTAAAGAAGTTTTCTTGTAAAAAAATAACTGTAACTGATTACACATCAACTATTTTGTATTACTTTGCTTATTCAACTCCTGCCTTTTCTTTCACATCTGTGCAAGAAATAAAGTATCTTGCAGGTAATCACCTGTGTGTTACTGAGCACATCATCTTTAACCCTGTAAGAGATGAACTATAATTGTAAAACACTACAAAGTGGAGGCTCAAAAAAGAGAAAAAGAAAGCCCATTAGATTTGTTTACTCAAGTGCTTCTCTCTTTCTCTGTTTGAGTTTGGAGGAAACAGCTGTATTTGGATGGCAAGTCAAGGAGTAAGTTGTCTCTGGTTTTCTCCCTATCACTCCAATCTTCTCTTTTTGCCTTTGTTTTGTACATCTTCCTTGTGAACATGAGGCTCTTTTAATAAATAAAAAGAGGGATTTTATATAATCTACTGAAACAAAGCTGTGTCACAGTCCCTTCTGCTTGATGGTCCTGCACTAGAGCATCTAAACAAGTCAGTGGTAAAAGCTGGGCTTGCATACTTAGTTATTTTCTTTGAGCCAGTTCATCTGTCTTTCTTACAGAAAATATGAGTGTTCCTCCCGTTTTCTGACAGGACATGCTGAGTACCACTAAGGTGCCTGTCACAAAGCAGCTGGGGAAACATGAACCTCCCGCATAAAAGCCATTTTGTGGAAAGTTTCCTGAGAGAAACAGGATGGGAAGGGCTGCTGCTGCTTTGGCTTCACCAGAGGTGGGTCCCCTTCACTTAACAGCTTTCTGAGCTAACTTCAGCTTACTGAGCTAACCATAGAAACCAGAGTCCTTGCAGCAGCGGAAGGGGAATGTTTGGGCAGCAGGGAGTGGAGGTTTTATCCTCCCAGGGAGATGGAAGAGAAAGCAGAGGTGCACTGGTGATTGATTGATCACCCAAGGTGGAAGGTCGGGAGAAGTGTCTCTGTGTGGCTGAGGGCTAGGATGGGTAGAGATGAGGGCCTCTGCCAGGCACTGTCCACACAGGTTGGAGTACACAGACCATGCTGCTCTTTCTGCCACAGGATAGAGGAACAGGAGAGAGGTCTGTGCCAGCTGCCCTCTGGAGTAATAAAGCCCTGGCACCAGGGGCCCAGGTCTTCTCTTTTTGAGTTGGAAACTCCTGATGGACCCAGGCAGGGTGGATATCTGCATCCTGTGATAAGCTAATCATGCTTCTTAAAGTTTCTTTGAAAAGGATGGGGTGAGGTGTTCTGCTGTTTTTCTCTTGTTATGAAGACCTACCTGGCTAAGCATCCAGCCAACAGCAGTAGCAGCTACTCTTCTGGTAGCCTTTCTTCACCTGAGCTATGCTTCCATGAGCTCTTGAGCTCAAATACAGTCTAAACTATGTAAACTATACATTATACTAAATTATACATTAGCAAATGATGCCTAAAGGAAAAACAACAACATGAGCCAACTCCTTCACTTTGCTCTTACTAACCTTATTATACAAATTACGAGTGGATTAAACTGTCCGAGGTCAGCACCTTACCTGGTAAATCAGAGTGTGGTTACAGAAGCATGTGTTACGGCTGTGGCTCACCTGAGCTGAGAGCCTAGTTTGGCTGAACAAATGAACACGGTCAAATGTACGTTGTTAAATACTTGGTTGTGTATCACCTTCGCCATTATCAGCCATGATACAGAGCCTGAGCTTGTTCGACCGTTGCTGAGGGTCCGTGCTGAGCTTAAAACCCACAAGGTGAAGAGTGTGGCACTGCCTGGCGATGTACCCTGGCTCCCAGGAGAAACACCAAGCCTGCATGCCATCCCTGAGGTACCAGGGACACTTTGGAGGACACAAATCACAATGGCAGCTGCCCCCGTGTGTAACTTCCATAGTTCAAACTCCAGATAGTCGAGACATTTTGATTTTCCCCTTCCAATACCAAAAAAAGCATGAAAAACATCCCAAGGAAAAAGCCCAACCAGTTTTCAGA